CTAGTAGGTTGGCGGCCATCGCTAGTAGGTTGGAGGCCATCGCTAGTGGGTTGGAGGATGCTGGAGGCCATATTTTTCCTCTCCACATTTCTAGTAGTCTTTGTGGCGCGCGACCTGACCTCTCATCTCTTTTCAGGTCATGGAGCGCAAGGCTGGCATGCTGAACCTTCGTGTGCGGAGTGGTGAGACCACTTCAAAGGCTTGGGCCACCCGTGTTCGTCTGTTTGTTTCAATGAAATGGAGGACTCCAAGCATCTGAAATGGAACAGGCACTTAGGAATGCACCTTTCATGGACCGGAGTGCTGCTTTCCTTTCATTTCATTTCATGTCGTAGCGACGAAGTTGGTGAGCATGTTGTCCAGGCCGACCGAATTCACAAAGCTCAAGAGAACTCTCTATTGATTTGTGAACTGGAAGAGCCAGTGCCTTAATTTGGCCATCTATCTTGCTATCAGCGTCTTCTTAAGCTATCTTGAAACAGCAAAAACCAAACAATGAATGTGTCCGAGTCTCCAAAACTTGTGGTGGCTCACATGGTTTCAAGCGCTTCTGTGAGGGAGCACATACTAAATAGGCGGAGCTTTTAACTGACAGAACAAGAAATGACTGATGGTCTGAACAGTTAGCTCCCTTGCCACCGAATTCAGCCCAGACAGTGGACAACAGCCCAGGCTCAGAATCGAGAAGAAGGCACTGATGGCTCAAGCCAAGGACTGCGCAGACACGACGCAACGACTTGATGTGGCTCAATTTCTGCATCAAAGAGGACTTAGAGCTCAGAATCCGTTTGCATCAGCAAAGCGAAGAAGTCCAGGTGTGATTTGTGCTTCCGTGAGATCGTGATGTGTACTTCATGGGACTTCTGTTTGCTTGTTGGGTGCAGAAAGGACAATTTGTTGTATAATCTAATTTCCTTTTTTTTAAATCATTTCCTCCCGATTCCGCTTCAGGCGAAGCCAATAGAAGCCTTGCCTAGCAGGTGCGGCCGGCATCAACAAAAGGGACCGAGACTTGTGACAACTGCCATACTAGGTGTACTCCTCCAGATTTCCCATCGAATCTCATTCAGCATTGGCATCAAACACCACGGCAGGCCTTGGATTTTGAACTGGAAGATATCTCTAGACACGGGACACTGTTGTTTCCTCCTTTTGACACCCAAAAGTAAAGCTTTTCCGAAGCTTTTTCTTTTTTGATGGGAATACACCTGTGAGTGACATTGAAGAAAAAAATCAGTGACTCCAAAAAGCTCGAAGGCCACAAACACCTCCCTTGAAGCAGGTCTGGCTCAGAGGCGAAGTCCTCCAAGCAAGCGCTTTGCGATTTGTTTGAGGAGGTGCTGCGAAGCAGATCTGACAGGTCGCAACGGAAGAATAGCTAGCAAAAGGATATCGTTCCACTGGTTGCTCCACATTGTGGAAAATAGACGTGACATAGTAATGACTAGTTGACTAGTTGAAGCCCAAACATGGGTGGACAAAGTGAGAAGATGAACCCGTTCGTGAGCGGCTGTTCGTTTCAAGATGTCTCTTCCACACCAGACTGCTTGTTATTTGGCGCGCTGGTTTTGGAGGCGCCGGAATGCCAGAGGACACCGATGAAGGGGACATTGAAGAAGGCAGGTGTTCTCCGGACGTCCAAAGTCCTTGCCTTCCCTGTGGAGGCCATTGCTATTAGGTGGAGGCCATCGCTATTAGGTGGAGACCATTGCTATTAGTAAATCAAGAATCCTTTATATCCTTTCCTTTCAATTTCAGGGCCATCTCGTCCGGCCGTTGGGCAACACTGAGAAGAGCGGCCACAAGTCACAAGAGGAGCACAGAACTTACCAACAGATGTCCTGAAAAGACGAATGAACAAGTCAACTTGAAAGTCTTCGAGAGCTTTGGGAACAGTTTTTGGGTGTGTATTGGTTGTTGAATCATACCCATGAGATTCCTTTGAGCGCGCTAAGGCTTCGCTCCAAGAAACGCTTCTTGAAGCAGGTGGAGAAGACCAAGATGCAACTGACTGAGCAGAGGCCACGGCTTTCAAACGACACACTATGGCTTGGTACGGCTTTAATTTTGGTTTTGCATGGAGTTTGCGGATTGCAAACAATGTGTCCTCAATACATTTCACTAGCCAAAATGGCATGCCATTTTGGCTCAAGGATCAGAACCCTGATCCATCAAAGATCAAACTTTCGAACTTTTCTGTGGCTGTATCCCACTTGATCTTTTCTGACTCTCGCCGCAATGGCTGACACGCTTTTCGACTTCGAACTTTTGGACTCAGCTGATGACTTCATGGATCTGGACTTGGATCCTATGGAGCAGGAGGTCGCAGCGGCAGAATCAGCCCAGCTTGAGGCCGATCAAGATGAGATGGCCATTTTGGCCGATTACGTGATCCTTTCGGACAAGACCCCTGAGGATCTGGCAAAGGATCTGGAGGCGATGTCTTGCTCCAGGCTACCACAGGGACGGCGGTGGTTGTACGCCCACTGACAGTGGCACCTACATCGTCGACCCCTCCATTGGCATCTTCGGACGCTCCTGCAACGGCGGCCTTGGCACCTCCCAGCGGCTTGGTGAGCTCTACCTCGGCTTCTCCCCCGCCGGCATCTTCCGTGGATGCAGGGTCGGCATCGACGGCACCGAGTAGCCGGAAACGTCCCTTGGATCAGAGCGACAAAGCGGGAGCCCTGGCAGGTGCCTCGGGCCCTGATACTGGGATTCCGTCTGCGGAGTCCTCTGTACCCGGTGCCTTGGTTGGGAGTGGTCATTCTGGAGCCTCAGCAGGTGCTTCATGCCCTGATACTGAGCCTCGTAAGGATGCACCACTCTCCTCAGTGCAAGCATCAGGGGCCCTGTCGCTGTGTGGTAAGCAGCCTGCACCAGCTCCTTCCTCGACTTTACGGACGACCTTGGAGACCCAGGTTCCAGTTGAAGGACGCCTTCAGGATCCTGTGACCTACTCCTTTGCCGAGGACGGGAACATCCTTCTGACCAATGTCATGGCTGGTCTTCCCTGCCTCCCAAAGAAACTGGCGCAACCATAGCGTCCAAGTGGGTGAGATCATTGAGCTTTGCCTCCAGTTTGACGTGACGAAGCTCACCCCGGCAGCCTTTGCTCGCATTGTTGAGGTCTATGCCACTGCCAAGGCCAAGCACCTTGCGCAGGAGATTTGGGAGGCTAAGCGTCTGCCCAAAGGAGCGCGCTCCATGGAGAAGCTGACGACCCTCCCAGAGGTGGAATCCAAGCTGCCCTACATGTGCGCCAACTGTTTCACAAGCTGGGTCCTTCCCAAGTCGCCGAAGTGTCTTCACTGTGGTTCTACGGAGGGGAAGGTTCCAACGGCGCTGCCCTCAGCCTCGGTGACAGTGGATGGCGTCACATGGACTATGGCCTTTGATGCGGACAAGCAGCTCCGTTGGCAGTCCGACTCCTGAGGCAAGGGCAAGTCCAAGACGAAAGACAAAGGCAAGTCGAAGCCAACTTGGCCTTCCTCCTGGGCAACTGCTGCGCCCAATGGAGTCCCGTCTGCCGTGACTTTCACATCAAGAAGACCTGCCAAGGCAACTGTAACCGTTCTCACAACTGCCCAGTCATGAAGGATGGATGGGTCTGCAATGCACCCCTGGGGCAGCATAGCCCCAACAACTACCCACACAAGTGACTAGGCCTGGCATCCACAGATGCTCCAAAGAACCCCACTGCTGGGGCCTGGAAGGTCTGAAGGCATCAGACCAACAGCTTGTGGACGACGACAGCATCTTACTGCTACGTCAAATGGTCCTCACCCACCTCGCCCATCTGGGCAGGGCAAAGCTGAAGTCTCCAGCTCCATGGAACTTCTTGGAGCATCCAGTGGATCCCAAGGACAATAGCATCGCACCGAGTGCTTGGCGATGCAGTTCCATCTGGGCTACCAGAGCCCTACAAACATGCCACTTGTTAGGGAACACCCCGATCACCTTTGACCAGGACAAGTGGTAAAGAAGACGACCACCTGTCCACCAACCTTCATCTACAACATTGGCGCGGCATGGTATGTGACCATGACCCAGATGATCGCAAACAGAGTGACACGCTCACGTCATCGGACCTTAGCAGGTACCCACGAACACCAAACGCGAAGCCGCTTGCCGGGCGCACCGACAGAGCCCTGCTCCGCAGTTGCTTCATGCACTGATAACGGGCCAGGTGCCTCTAAGTAGCCCCGACTGGGGGATACATCCAAGGCGGGCCTCCCCGTTACACCTGGGAACCAACAAGATTGCCAGAAGTTGGCGCAAACACCCAAGGAGGGTCAGCTCTCCCGGGAGGCAGACGGGCCATCAAGACCCATTATGGATCATCCATCCGAGGAAGGGGCCAAACCTCAGAACCCCAACTCCGCCTGCGGTACGTCCCGGGAGAAGGACCCACAACCGGGTCAGACTGGAGGAAGTCCTCCACGTCACGTGGCCCAACGAACGGCCCACAACTGCGCCTGCGGTGCGTCCCGGGAGACGAGCACCTCACCACAGCGTGAGGCACGAAGTGACCAGACAGGTCCTCAACAGACCGCCGGAGGACCCCTCCACAGGACAGGGGACCTAAGAACCCCAACTCCGCCTGCGGTACGTCCCGGGAGGGTGAATTGCTTTTTTCAAAAAAGACGAAACGCAACACTCGGGGTTGGATAGACCTTCCCACTTGCCTACTACGGCCAGGCTACACCTTCTTGATGACAAACTTCTTGTCCCCTTGGGATTCAGAGTGCGACCAATAAGAGATGGAGGAGGCAAAACATCACCCGGCCGTATTCCTCCACCACTGAGGTCGCCATCAACACTGGCTACCAAGGGACAATTGATCCTTGCTAAGGTCCAGTCAGTGACTAAGGATTTCCAGCGCTCCATCAACCAGCGTGAGAAGCAGCGCCCATTTCCCGAAGCCCTTCTACGGGAAGTCCGACGCATCTTGGTGGGCCCTGACAAGGATGCCATCCACCAGGGCCAACCGTTCTACCACGAGGCGATTCATGACCTGGCCAAGCAGATGAACGATGTGGACCAGGACTACCCCCTCATCCTCCGAGAAGGCGTCCCACTTGGTGTCTCAGAACCTACACTGACCAGCCCGGGGGGTCTGGCCCACAAAGTCTGAGTTAACAGGCGAAGACCCTACGATGGAATTCCTTCCACCCCACAGGCAGGGCTAACTACAGCTCCGCAGAGCAGTTTATAGAGGAGATCAAGGAAACCTTCCGGGAAGAACGGGAACTGAAAAAATGGGTCCTTCACCAAAACAGAGGCAGCTGCCTACTGTGGATGTACCCCTGAGGAAAAGTGAGAACGATCTATGATGGCTCATGGGGAGGGGCCAATGCAAATAACCAGAGGAACACCAAGGAATGCACTACGGCGCCCACTGTGATGGACTGTGTCCACTGCCTACATTGGTTGCGCGCCTCCCGTGGGATTTGCCCCTCCAAGCGGGCAGGTGCCTCGGGCCCTGATACGCGTGAGGATGGGCTGGGACAATGGTCTTGGCCGGAGCCGTGCACCGAATGGCGCATCCTCAAAGCGGACGTCGCCAAAGCCCATAGGCGCATCAAGATCCACCCCCAGGATTGGAGGTACCAGGTTGCCCAAAATTGGTGACGAATGGTGGCCTGCTTTACTGGTGGCGCATGGCAGCCCTCCTCCTCCTTGGGATCATCTACGCAGTGTTCCCGAAAATCGATTGGGGATTCGTCTACTCCAATGGGCAACAAGTGCTTGCCCCTTAACCAAACCGCTTCTTCAACCGCTTTGGCAATGGAAAGGAGCAGTCAAGTCATCGAGCAGACCTAATCATTTGATCCGAGTCTTTGCCAAGATGTTGCGACTACCTTTCCAAGAACCATACACTCAACCAACACCCTTTGCGCCCTGGTCACCCTGGCACGGGGCGAGTGATGCGAGCGCTTCCAACCAGAAGGAGTACTACATTTGTGGTGGGCTCTCCTCTGATCCAACCCCATCCAAACGATCAGTATTTTGGTTCCACCTCAAATTGGAAGAGACGACCTTTCCCTGGCTGTTCAACACCAAGACAGCCAGCGCTATGATACCAGTGCTTGAGCTACTGGGATCCCTCATTCTCATCTCCTTCATCTTGAAGATGGGGGAACGCCGCCAGCTGGTCATCAAGATCCCGGTCATCACTGACAACCGAGGGAATGTCTTCTGTATGCTGAACAACAAGACGCGGCAGATGCCCACTTCAGCTATTTTGATGCAGCTGGTCCTTACACTTCACAAAGGGGGGGGCTCAGCTTGCCCCCAGCCACGTGAAGCGAGACCTCAACCAATGGGCTGACGAACTCACCCATCCGAATCCTACAGGGTTCCCACCCGGAGTTTCACCTGGATGCGAAAAACATCCTCTCTCAGTTTACCCTCATGAACTGGGTCCTCAAGGAGATCTACCACTACTGAGGCCCCGGGATTTCTCCGTTTTAAGCTCCTCCTCAGTTGCTTCATGCACTGATAGGGAGGAGCTCGACCCAACTAGACCATGACACCCATGGGTCCTAGACTGGACGCCCGGTGTCAGTCTGCTTTACAGGTTCTCACAGGCAGATTTTCGGTGGAAGGACAGCTCAAACCTGTAAAGGCAGACACTACCACCTCTCAGGGAAAAGAGGTGTAAGCTGCTGCCTTGATGCTGCTTATATTTGCCTTTTTTGGATTGATGTTTGAGGACACATGGGGTACACCGGGTTCACCAGGTACACAGGGGCCGTCTTTTGTGGCAAGCACTCATCATCTGGGGGAGCCGTCGTTTGCTCAAGGCACTTTGTTAGGTGTTGCTTCGTGTTCTCACAGCTTCCAAGAGGAGGTTTATCACCACTCCCGCTGTCACCATGGCATCCATGTCTTTGTCATTTCTCTGACTTTGCAAAAACCCCAACTGTCTCATTTGAGAAAAAAACACGTGCAAGACTTTTGGCACACCACACTTGTCCCAATGTTTTTTTAAAGTTTCTGTTTTTTCCAGACCATTCAGCTTTTTGCGAAGGTCTCGTTTCCATCCGTCTTGATCTGGATCTTTTCTTCTTCAGTGTAATTCTTCTCGCTGTGCTGCAAACATGTCACACAGAGACGTGTATGGGAGAAGGGTGGTGTAGAAGTACCGTATTATGGGAACCTGTACATTCTTGGCAAGAAGTGTTATACAAGTTATACAGAAGTTTTTGCAGCCGCAGAAGTGCTATCTAGCAGTCTGGAAGTGGTGTCCACAAGATATTGCCCGCAAGTGCTGTTAGAAGCGGCATAGACAAGTGTTAAACTGTTACACAAAAGTTTTGTATAGGAGTACTTGATAGACACGTTGTGCAAAGGCATTGCGTAGAGTGCAGTATGATGCCGAACGTCTGCAGAGGTGCTACATAGTGTCACAGACACATATAATATATAGAAATGTTGTGCGGCATCGGAATTGCGTAGCAGAGTCTTCAGGATGGAGATATTGATCCAATTCATGGGTCCCAACAGATATTCTAAGATTTACTGACTCAAAGTGTGCCTCAACAGATGAGCTACTCGATGGCTGGCAGGATATGATTTGTGTTTGGGCCTTGTTTGGGCCATTGGTATTTGATTCTGATGGGGTTGCTACAGATGGGGGATGGCTGGGACTTTTCCTGTGTGCCTAGTTTGAAGTGAAAGCAAACACTGCCTCAACCAAGTTGCTTCTACTTTGGAAAGTACTTGATGTTGGTGAGACCTTGGTTTGGGCAGGATTCGTCAGCAGCTCGTCCCAACAGAGCAGCCAGCCCAGTCTCAACGAAGCACGACTTTCACCAGAGCTTCAAAAGACTGGATGTTCTGTCCTGTGTGGTGCTTCTCGAGGCTGCAGAGGATGCAGCAGCGCAAGAGCGGCGAGCCGAGGCTGACCTGTAAGAGTGCCTCCAGGTTTTCCCGCAGGTTTTTATGCTCTTTGGCGCCAGGTGAAGCATGCGGCACACTTGTTCAATTTGTGATGTGACAACAATGGAACAGTTGAGTTAACAGTCCTCGTAAGAATCTAGAAACCCTCGCTCTACTGCTACTCCCCTGATCCCCCCCCAAACCGAAGGAAAGAAAGGAAGGAGAAACGGCAGGAAACAAAAGGACATTGCACAACATGAACTCAGTCATTCATGTCTTGCTCTCCGTCTCCCGCAGTGTGGTCCTGAGCGAGTCCGGCTCCAGCTCAGCCCCTGCGGGCCCTGCACTGGCGGTGGCACGGAGCCGAGAGAGAAAGAGAGAGAGAGAGAGTAGCTTCTTGTTACTAGTAGTATATAAGGCATTTGTTACTAGAAGCGATGCCAGGAGCCCCTAGTAGCGTTCTTGCTCCTGGTAGCGATGCCCTTTGCTCCTAGTAGCTTCTTGTTCCTAGTAGCAATGCCAGGAGCTACTAGTAGCTTCTTGCTCCTAGTAGCGATGCCCTTTGTTCCTAGTAGCGATGCTCTTGGTACTAGGCCTCTTTAACAAGGCCTCCTTACAGAGACCCTTACCTTCTTTTGTTTCTGCTCTCTCTCTCTCTCTCAGTAGTCTTGAAAGTCTGAATTTTGACATTCGATCATGGTGTTCTTGCACTTTCATGCTCAGGTGCGCTTTGGCTCTCGATTCACTCCTGGCTCTTCTGTAGATTCTTTGCCTTAGTGCTCCTATGCGGATCTTTTCCTGCACCCAGAGGTATTTCACAAGAACACAGGGGAACATCAACCACACATCGCCCAGAAAAGGCGCGTGGTCCTTTGTACGAAGAAAGAACCAACAAAGCCGGGTTTTGGTCCTTTGTCTTTTTTCGCGCCATGACCGGGTCTGTTTAATGCCCCTCCCGGCCAACATGACCGGGCTGCTGTGGACAGCTCCGCAGCTCCGAAACCTCGGCCAAGCCGACCCGAATTCCGAGATGCAAAAAGAGACGGTGCGCACCGCCGGTCCCTCCGGCGTACCGCATACCGGTGCGGGCGTTTGGGGGCATGGGCTCAAAAAAAAGGTAAGCAGACCGTTTTAGTCCGTTTTACATGGTTTTTTCATCGTTTTAACTGCTTTGCCGATGTCCTTCTTCCTATGAGTTTGGATGAACCATAGCCAGACGAGCTGTTTCGAATTCTTCTCAGAGGAGGCTGCTGCAGGAAGTTTTTTTTGATCTGATCAACCTCAAAGTGATGTGATCTCCCCACTCACAGGCGAATAGGTAAATCGTTTCAATTCAGATCTATATAACTTAACTCAAAACGGCAGTCAACTTGGTTTAAACGCGTTCAGCTGTTTTCTAACCTCTTCTCTTTTTGGAATACCCGACCCAGCGGTGCTCGGAGCAATGCCTTGGAGCCGTTGCTTGGCGCCGGTGCTGCCGTCACTGAGCCGAAGAAGTCGTTGCGAGGAGCCCTCCGACTCCGAGCCACCGACTCAGCGACCCCCACGGGTGGTGGTGGTGGGCGCAGGGCTCACCGGATGCCTCACAGCAGCACTGCTGAGGCATTTGCTGACGGAGAAAGCTTTAGCTATCTGACCAACTCGGCCTACTCTCCAGGTTTTGTTCCACAAGGCTTTTCTGGGCAAGGATCTGAGAATCATTGAGCTGGTCTCAGGGTGAAAGGACCTGGAATACACAAATGCATCGGTATGAGACTTTATCTCTACGTGGCCGGCAGGCGATCGCTCCCCCAGCTGGAACTACAGGTGTGGGAAAGGGCAACATATCCTTCAGGCGGGATGCTGGTGGGCAAGAACTCTTGAGAATCACGAGTTTGAAATGAGAATCTTGAGCTTCGTTTCTCTATTTTGGCTCTTAAGCTCAACCGACCTGCGACCGAGTCGAGCCGGCGAGCGCAGGTCGCTTTGGTGCCGGTTTGGCATTTGAGGGTCACTGGCTAGACCTGGGCGCACAGGTCTTGTCACTGATAGAGGTGGATTCAGGCCATCCAAATGCTGGGGCAGATGGACACAACTTGCAGAGCTCTGACCTTTGTAGTGCGTGGGAAGAAGTTCAGAAGATGGTGTCGCAAAGCTTCCTACATCGAGTGCCTGATGACATGCTCGCAGCCACGGAGGCATCGAGTCGTCGAGTTGAGTCAATTGAGTCAATTGAAAGAACGCACTGCTGGGCTGGAATGAAGGATGAATCATAGACATCGAATACTTGTCATGAAATGAGGATATCACACACCTTGGCAGATGCAGGAGCGGATGAAGTACACAGGTTTGTGGGCTCATTTCTGGTGCCACCAGGGCTTTGGGGCTTTGCAGCGGCGCTACCTAGCAGAAGCTCGTGCCGAGCTGCGTCATGGCCGTGTGGATGCGGTCGCTGATGGAACGTTGGTGATTACCAAGAGACCCAGTGGACAAGTCTTGCGGGAGGAGGCACGAACTGCGTGAAATAGGACGGTGGCAGAGTAGTCTGTAGTTTTGGAACACGCATGTGAGTACTTGCGGCAATTCCATTACGAGTTGTTCGGTCATTCCACTTTGCTGACCTTATTCAGTGTGATACTACATCTTGCTTGACAATGCATAGGTGGCTTTCTTGTGGTATTAAGATCATACGGGCGTCATGCTGTCCCACCCCTTTGCAAGCAGGACGCACTCTTGCTATCAACTATGTCATTCCAATCACCATGGCCTCATTCACTCATCCGAACTCATCCCATCAACTTCACAAAAAACATCCCAACCGGACATGACTTCCGAGGCGGACTTGGTGATCCTAGCGGTGCCCGCGCCCGAGGTCCTGCGCGTGACCGGACCGGGGCGGTGGCCGGCGGTGGCTGCGGCGTTGGAGCGGATCCGCTATGACCGGCGCAGCGCGGTGGGCGTGGCCTTGGACCACGCACTGCTCCTGCCAGTGATTTGGCGGAAGTGTTTCCGGTTGGGGTGTGGTAGAGGCTGCATATGATTGAACGAAGATGTGGTAAAGCTGTTGTGGGTGACCTTGTGCCTCAACAAATACATAAAAGACATGAGACTGTGTCAATGCGTCGTCCTATGTTTCTCTGAGGTGGCTGATGCCTTTGCTGGCGCAGCTGAGATGTCCTTGGATCTTCCTCAATATGTGGAAGCAGATGACAAAGTACATTTGATTGCCTGGCAAAACGTGAAACGCATGGAATGCCATGGCGTGTCCAGTACCTCGATTCCGCATGGAGATCCCATTCTTTTGGTGGTGCACTCCACCACCAGCGAACCCAATTTCCACCTGAGCGACGCATTGAAGGCAGTGAGCCAAGTCTTGGGTGTGCCATCGTCGTTGGTGGAGGGCCTTGTTCTGAAATCCAAAATGGTCGATTGGACCTCCTGTCAGATGGTACAGCCCTTGGAAAGCATCCCCACAAATCTCCGGGTGGAGGAGCCATGTTTACAGCATGGCCGCGTCATTGTGGCAGGAGACTTTTGGTCTCAAAGTAGCTTCTTAGGCTGTTTTTGTTCGGCCAAAGCTGCCGTGCGTTGTGCTGTAACAAATCTGGAGGCAAAAGAAGTGATGCCTGAGGAAGCCAGAGCAGAGCTGAATGTTAACGGCTCCATTTGTCTCGATCTAGATTTAGAATTTATAGAACGGCATTTTCTGTAATAGCAGGGTGAAGGGAACAAGCTCTTGACACCGGCAGCTGTTACAACCTCAAACAGGCATGAAAAGCCAATATAGATTCAACCAGCAGGTAACATCAAGTGTTAGGCTCTACGCTCTTTTGACTGCCACTGTTTTGTGTTGAGAACACGGCCATTTGTATTTCTTGGAGATGATGGTAAGAACAGCTGTCATGGAAAGCTTTAGCTGCAGCCTGAGTAAAGGCAGTCCCAAACAGCATCAAACGGTCAAAAGCGAAGCTGTTTGACTCTTGAAGGTCTGAACGGTCTGAAGTTAGAAAAAGGTCGCAAGATTCTCCAAGAAAGCTCCTTGCATCCTGAGGTCTATTCACTCTTCCCACTCTTCCCCCTGGCTTTGATGGCTTCGAGCTCTTATGTTTCTTGGATTTGTATAAGCATGATTCCTTTCGTTCCTTTCCTGCTAGTAACCGGCAGTAGTTGTTGAACAGATTGCAAGAGTGGTTTCAGTGGTTTTGATCTCTGAGGTGCTCCGATGGAATTTAGCACTTGCCACTGCAGCCAAGTCAGCCAAGTGGAAGAGAGCCCTGTCCTTGATGCAAGGGCTGAGAACAGAAGCTTTGCAGCCAGACGTGGTCACTTTCAATACCCTTCTTCGTGCTTGCACACGTGCGAGTCGATGGAAGCTTGGTTTGTTCATGCTAGATTCTATGAGAGAGCAAGAGCTGAAAGCAGACGCAGTGACTTTCACGTCTCTGTTGGGCTTTCAAAAAGATGCCGCCGCCTGGATTCGCGCTGTGGCCATCCTGCATGCCATGCAACTGGCACTGCTTCAACCTGATGGGCATGCTTTGAATGCAGTCTTGGCAGAATGCATGGCAGCAGGCCATTGGACCTTGGGCTTGATCCTTTTGAAGCAGGTTCAGTCTGCTCAGTTGGCTTCGAGGAAACCAGATAAGCAACATGCTGTGGCTCTAAGTACTGTGATGGCCGGAGCTGTGAGAGCAGGGCGTTGGGACGTTGCTTTGTCTCTTTTTGGAGCCTGCGAAGCTCTGGATCGTGTCGATGGTGTCCTTTTGTCTACGTGCATGCGAGTTTGCCGCGCTGGACATTTCTGGCAGTTGGGCTTGTTGTTGCTTCCTAGAGCCCAAGATCCTGATGCCGCAGTGTATAATGCCGCTATTAGCATGTGTGCAGATGCAGGTCAATGGCAGACGGCCTTGGGTCTGTTCGGAGAAGCTCATCGCAACCAGCGCACGGACACCACGAGTTGCAACGCCGCCATCACCGCCTGTGATCGGGGCCGGGCTTGGCCACACGCGCTCTACACTTTTCACTTGGCTGTTGGGCTTCGAGATTACATCAGTCGTGGAGCCCAGTTTCGTTTCAAAACACCGGAAGAGCCACCATAAGATGCTTCAGTTGTGGTCAAAGAGGATTCGAAGAGCAATTTCTGGAGGAGTGAGAGTGCTTTTGTTGGGTGCACGTTGTTTGAAGCATGCTTCAAACGTGCATTGAATTACTGCACACTGTGAGGCTATTGCGCCATCTTCAGTGCTTGCCGGGGACAGTGGCCCCTGACTCTAGCTTTGCTGCGGATGGCAGCCAGCGAGCAGATTCAACCAGGATGGATTCTGGGTGCCAACATGATCACGATCAACCAATACAGATGTTGTACAGTACTCCCCCCCCCAGCGAGAGAAGTCCGAAGGTTCCTCTCGTCTGAGGAGAATGTAGATGGGAAGTTGGGTCCAGGGCGGCTGAAGTGTTGGGGTTTCGGATGGAGGCGGCGTGATCGCCTTTGATTTCCGACCTGTGTGCAGGCGAACGAGCCTGGAGCGCTTTGCTCACCTCCTGCAACTCACAATGGGAGTTGGGCTTAGTGCTTGCCGATGAAGGAGCGCAAGCAGAGTATAGATGAGTATAGCATGTACTGATATTCACCGAGTTGTGTTGAAGGTTGGCCTCAAAACGCAAATGACTTTTGTGGGGGTGTCGTGGGTCATTCTTACTGCTTGAGTCCCTCTATCCACTTCTGCAAGACGGGAATTCTGTTGCAGGCCGTGATGCGAATTGGGACATCATTTGTCACAACACAGTGATGCACATGCTGTCAGCCGCTGGAAAATGGATGGAGGTGCTGCACTTGCTCAACACCTTGCGAATCTCAGCTCAAACTCAGTTCGTTGAAGGAACATCCCTTGATCAAATCTGTTGATCAGATCATCACATAATTTCTTGATATTTCTGAAATTAGCCATTCTGGACGAGTCAAACTCCTGCCATCCCCTCGCAGCTCCATGAAAAACGCTTGGTTAGGTGGTACCCATCAGCCTGATGCTGTGACCTTGGATGCAGCTTGTTCGGCCTTCGAGGCCGTCGAAGAGTCCAGTGTGCTCATCAGCAGTGTACTTCGAATAATTTTTGTAGGCCGTTGCCTGTCTCACTTTGGGACTTTCGAAGGATGGTCGCAGATTTCTTTCTTTTCGTGGAGCTCCTGAGATGGTTTCAACATGTTTCAACATGTTCAAGCAATTTATACATCAATAGACTTAGACAGTACGAGTGTATGAGGGTCTTCTGGGTAGGTCAGCAGCAAGGAACCGGGGAATAACAAAGGAAGGAAAGGATGAGACTGCAAACAAATGGTAGAGCACTGTGCTCTTTGGGCTAAGTTGACTTGGCGCTGAATAACAGAGCATGTACGTATATATAGTTATATATATATATACATATGTATAATGTGTTCTTCATAGCCTTTATTGCAGGCATCCGGTGCCTTCCGGCAGCTGCCCTTGGTCCAAGAAGCACTGCGGACGCGTGCGGTCGGTGAACTCGGAAGGAGATGAGATTTTCAATCCAAGAATCGGAGAGTCAATGGAGTTTCTTCACAGTGTTTTTTTGTCGGGTTCTTTTGTGTGGTTTGAGGGGGTCCTTTTCAGCCATCCAGCTGCTCCCAGGCTGCGCATTGCACATCCGAATCTGAAGGCCTTTGCCATTGCTCTGCTTCATAGACCAAGAGTCAAAGTACCGTGCAGTTCTATGGGCAACACATATATATATATATATATCACCAGCTGTCTCTATGCTGACTATCCGATTAAAGCGCCCCTTTAGCCTTCAATGACTTTTTGAGCTTCTTTTGACATCCGTCTTCCTTACCCAAGCGCCCGTGCCATCCCGTGCCCACTTCAGCTGACCAATATGGGTCGTCAGGCCCGGATCTCTGGCCATTGAAAGCTGGCTTGGGCCTTGCCGCCACTTGGGCTTCTGGGCGGTTGGAGAGGCCGTTGAAACTGCTGGCAGATCCTTTCCTAGGATGTGGTGGTTGGGGCAAAGCCTGATTCCGACTCAGAAGTCTTCAAATCTCAGAATTTGGCTACTGGACAGGAGGATCATGACAGTTCTCGCAAACATTTTCGAGATGTTGGCAAGTTTGAACTCCCCAAATCCTGGCTTTGCTGCTTACTCCTTGCCGGTCGATCTTGTGCTTTGGGAGGCTTGGGATGCGGCTTGCCCTGGGCGTTCCTTTAAACCGAAAGAACTTCTCTCACGGTCAAAATGACGCAGATGCGGAAAGCAAGTCCTTGATGATGCAGACATATCATGAAAAACGCTTCAATTAACCTTGAATGTTCATGCAGACGCACAGCAAGACTCAATTGCGGGAATCACATTCTAAGATCTGAAGGGCCATTGTCACGGCGGCAGACCATCTCTAGCTCAAACCAGGAAGACTGCGCAGAGAATTGCTCACGCATTGCTTTGTTTACCCATCACTTTTCCATGAGTTGTTGAAGACGGGACATTCTGTAGCAACTGATAAAGACCGTTGCCCACTCAAAAAGACCGTTGCTTGAAAGGGAAGGACGACACTAGGCTTCCCGATGCCAAAGTGCTGCAATGTCTCGCATTGATGAAGCCTTCCTGCCCCTCGGTGGTGGAGGTGGGCTGGATCCGTAGGATGCAAATCAGTCGCACAGTCATGGATTTGACACTTTTCAGCTGCCCATTTTGCAATTGCAGCTATTTTGGACCAAAGCCTTTTTCCATGTGAATAGCTGCAGAATGGACATCGATTCTTTCGACCCACTGCTATTTGCCACGACGCACGCGCACGATGGTCCTCACCCTATTGAGAACATAGGGTCTGGAAAGATGCTGGACCAGAATGGGAGACTTTGGCAGCTGGCACGCTGGGACGATGATTTGACTCAGATGGAAGAAAGAGATGTGTGGATGGAGCCAAATCTGTTTCCCATAAAAGTATACTATCGCGTGGATGGACCGCATGCACCACGCGCGATGCCTTTTGAAGCCAATGTACGCTTTACTCAAGATGTGGATGTCTTATTCAGGTGCAGGAGTCCGGGAGAGTGCCGCATCCAGATGGGTCATTTCTTGAGAGCAATCCTGAAATTTGACTTTGGAAAAGATCCATTTCTAAGCATCTCTACTATGCTGCCAGTGCATGAGCAGCGGGCTTTTAGCTGTTTGGCTAGGAGGTTTCGCTATGCCAGCACATGTGCTTGGAGTGATGATGTTAACGAAAATGAACGCATCATGTTGTCCATAATGCGAAAGGATCAACCTGGATTCCTGTCAAGATGCATCGCCGACTCTGGCATGTGTAAGGCTTCCTTAGGAAGGATGCTCTTAGAAGCAACTGACGGAGGCAGGTTGTATCGTGGCCATGTGTGTTGCAGACTCTTGGGAGAGATGGGTGCGGTGATTCGCTTGGAAGATGCCGTCAAGGTCATTGCTGAAGACGAATATCACGCTGGCGTCTATGTTCATCGAACTTCAAAGAAGTGTGAACGTGTCTATGCGGGTTTTGATTGCTTCTTGGTCTTGGACCCAGCCTCAGAGCTTCAAATGCTACGGGACTCGGGAATGAACCTTGGCCCAGTTGGACAACAATGGCAAGCACCATTTTGGCGTTTTATGGATGATGGGGGGTTTGATACAGTCTACTTAGCTTTTTCCTCGAGCGTTGTGCCTCCTTCGGATGGATGGTACGAGGTACTGTATTATCCCGGGGAAGGCTCGCCAACAATTCAGATAGCACCCGTGAAAGTGGAAGATTTGATTGACTCTGGAACTCAAACGCGTGGCCCAATCCTGGACAAGTCAGAGGTTCGCAGAAGAATAAATTCCGTTTTCAGCCGGCCACCACAATGGACGCCTTCGACAGCACATCATCCATCAATCTGATGTGCAAACGAACAGTCGATGCAGAAACGTGACAGAAAAGACTAGTTGCTGGGTCCGGTGCTCAAGAGCTGTTTGGATCATATTTGGAGTGGGTTCAGCCTACTAGGGTTGAACACACACGCGTAATTATTATGCCGCAACAAGTAAAACCACAATATATATATATATGTATGCACAAAAAGTTCAGACAGCTCCAGCTCCCTAGACCGCTGAATGCAGTGTTACTGTAATTATATGACACGATTTGAGAGACTCAATTCTCAAAGCAAGGGATGGACACCTGGAGTGTCAAGGTTTTCGAAGTTGAATTTGAGAGTCATTAATTAATACGTTTAGTCATTTCTAGATGTCGGCCAGAACACAGCAGTATGCTGATGAGTTGTAAGCATCAAAGTAGATAGAGCCTTGTACAGTAGGGCGACTTTTGTGGACTACTATATAAGTTGACAAAGCAAGTCCTTTGCACTGATGTCGTGGTGAGGTGATTCCAGGTGTTTTCCCGCGGCCGTTTTAGGCCTAAGCCATTCGACTACGTCGCAGGTGAAACGGCTGCGCTGCTTGTTAGGTGACCGGTGTGTCCACCTTTCCACAGTGGCACCGGAGCCTGAGTTGCCTTTTTTCGAGGCTGCTGCACTCCGCTTCCAGCGCTTCGGCATCCTCCTTTTCTTTTTGGCTACATCCTCTCCTTTCGGAACGTCCTTGTCTTTTCGGTAGGTGACCTCTGCGGACTCTACCTCTTTCACGCCTTTGGCCCTTGCCGGGCCGACCTTTGGAGGTCTCTTGGGACCACTTGCATCGGTCTCTTTGGGGACCGCCTGGCATCTGAGGCCGCCGCGCCTCCACTTTGGCTTTGGCCCTTTTTTGCACGAGCTCTTGACCGTTGAGCCAGACTTCAACCTTTGTTTTGGGACGCCTTTGGACTGTTTTTGGAGCTCCTCACGCTGGAGGAGCCAGTTGCCTTGTTTTTCTTGGCCATTTTGGCCCACCAGGCCTGATGGCGAGGACAGCGGGACCTCGTCGTGGTACAGAGTCCCGACATGGAACGGGAACCCCTCGGAGTGGCGGAGCTTCCGCCGCGAGATGAGTTGGTGGATGGCCTCGCTCGATCCTGAGCAATGCAAGAAGTTCAACATAGCAGCCAAGTGGGCGCTGCGGCAGCACGGAGTGGTCCGTGCCAGGTGCGAAGAGTTCGACCCGTCGGACTTGGAGGGGGTCAAGGAAGAGAGCATGGAGGACCCCGACACCGGGGAGAAGATCGTCAGAGTTGAAGCCAACCCCTTTGCAGGACTTGAAAAGTTGATGGGTGCCCTGGAAGCTACAGTTGGAAAGTCAGCTCTCGACCGCAAAGGAGAGCTCAGGGCGCAATACTACCAGGAGATCAAAAGGAATCCTGGAGAAAGAATCTCGGCATTCTGTACAAGGTACAGGACTTTGGCGGCCGAGCTCAAGCGAGAAGGCATCCATCTTCACGAAGAAGAACTTGGATGGATGCTCAAAGAGCGCCTGGGATTAGATCCCATCAGGAAGCAGCTCCTTGAGACAGCGCTCGCTGGCAAGGAGGCCTATGACCTCGTGGAGACTGAATGTTTGAGGCTCTTCAGAGATCTTCACACCGCTGATCCGCTACAAGTCTCAACAGCCGGAGAAAGCTCCTTTGCTCCAGCGCTTCCTGCAGTCTCAAACAGGCCCTGCTTCCTCATATCGATC